AAAATCCACATCTAACTCGCACATCAGGGTTTAACATCATATTCTGTCAGAAGCGCAGAAATATGAAACATATTATTGCAAATCTTCATTTCAGTAACATTTCAGTAAGTCACAAATTAATTTAAACTACACAAACGGATGGACGCCCCAAGACGACAATCTGACTTGACAAGTGTAAACGTCACGGTCTCGTGAATCCATTCAACATTTAATAGCGCCAGTTACTGTTTTCGGGTAAACTTGCCGACACGTCGGCGTATTTGCATTGAAATAAATATTAATATTTCAAACAATTTTATCGCTATTTTAAAAGCGACGATCACTTCATTCCTTGCGCCTTATAAACAAATTGATATAAGTAGTTCTTTGGAAGCTAAAGTTATACAAGGTTATTTTTAGTAGGTATATACGAAACCTTAAAACTATTTGTTCAGAAACAGTAATAGAATCCATCGCAATATTTTTTATATAATTTTTTTTTAGTTTTAATTGACAGGATGCAAACTAGCAGATGGATCACCTGATGGTAAGTGATTACCGTCGCCCATAGACAAACTTAACAAACATTGCGTTGTTAACAAAAAAAGTGCCCCGCGTTGTACGATGTATATGTTACAGGAAATGTATGAAATCTGTCATTGTATACAATTCCTAGGAATTGTGTATAAGTCCTAAAATCACCCGGAAATGTGTGATGTAAATTATATTAGACACATTTCCTAGGAAAATTACACATTTCCTAAACAGCAATCGGAAATGTAATTAAGATATTTTTTTTACACAAAATTATTTTTATTACGCCACTTTTTGTTCTCCGAAACTTAAATGGCGCTACCGCGCCGCGGCAGCTGTGTATGTGTAAGGTCGCAAGTCTAACCTAACCTAACCGAGACTTTGTTATCCAGCTACAGGAGTACTAAAACCTTCATGTCAATAATAGTTTAATAAAAGAGATGTTAAAATTAGAGATTTCCAATACTTCAGCGTAATATGCGTGATGCCGAAAGAAAGGTATAATAGTGCGAAAACAACTGTCAGGCTAAACAATAATAATTGTGAGTTAAAAGTACCTATCGGCCAATGTGGTTTGGCTAAATGAAATTTTAGGCGTACCGAGGGACACCCGATCACGCGACCGCGCTTGTGCCGCTTAGTTTTATACATTTCCTAATACAATATTGGAATTCTATAAAATTCCTAGGAAAAGTATACATTTCGTAGGATATGTGCGTATTAAAAAATCTCTGAAGCAATATTTTATACATTTCCTAAATAGCTTCGGAATTGTATACATTTCCTAGGAATAGTATACAATTCCTAGAATTCATACATTTCCTGTAACATATACACTCGCGTGCGGATAATGGGACAACAAAAAAAGCTTGAAACTTCGTGAGTTTTCAAGGTATCATTTTATTTTTTTATATACTGATTCTAAAGATTGAAATACGTGACACGTGTTTCGGCTTTCGTATATACAAAAAATAATGTTGTATAATTCGCAATTCATGTAACATAATTGGATATTGGTTTAATTAGAACGCTGGTAATTACTACGACACTGTCGCAATTTGTGCGAGTTTCATTATTACTTATCAGTGAGCCTCAATGAAATTATTGCTCCATTAAGGTGAGGTATAATAGCTCACGAGTAGTTTCCAGGCCACGTTTTGGCAAACTTTGAGATTATATTTACTTTAGAACAGACTGTTTGTCACTAGTAGAAAACTGTAAATATCTCTTTATCCGTGTAGAGATTAATCTAAGGTGATTGATAACGCCTAGAATCCTAAATGGATTGTCTTGATACAAGTGCTTCGTCTATTGTAAAGTGAGGCAAAAAGTCATATTAATTATTATGTCATCCAATGTCTTAATATTATTACGTGTAGTTGTTGCAATTCACGAAGGCGAGTGAGCTTTACATGTGTGGTGGCTCGCTACTGTTCGTTTTTCAAAAGTTTTGATAGACATTACACTATCGTTATTTGCATGTACACGTACACACACAGCTCATTCGCCTTCGTGAGTTGCAAGACTATACGCTTACGCTAAAGTTTGACATATGTCAAAGAACTGTCAGAATCAATAGGAAAAGCTAAGCCAGTTTGAAGTGACCCACCCCCTTTTCTTGCGCTAACTCGGTTTCTAGGCGTTTATATATACAACTTAAAATATTTCCTTAAGTAGCTCGTAATGTAGCTACATTGAAATTAAAATTAGAATAAAATTATTACGGTACGACTTTTACTCATTTCGAAAATTCAATAGACAATTGACTAATCTATGAATCCATTCAGCTTACTGTAACCATTCATAAATTTTGTGCTGACGAATGAGCTTCAGAATTAACTCTTCGAGTAGGTACTTTCTTGGAAACATTGAATTTTCATAGAAATGAAGAAACTGACAACAATTCGGGAGTATGTTTTTATAAATAAAGTTGAATGAATACAATAGGCTTACCAACGTACCACTAGGCTTCATTAAATAGGCATACATTGTAATGTACCTCTTAATTAAAAATAATCATACCCAGACATACTACATTAAACTATGATATCGCGACTAAAACGTCAGCATGACTTTTCCGATTGATTTTTTTACAGACGACAGCAAATCAAACTAAACGATGCAAGTTTGCATTAAAACTGGATAGGACGATGTGCCGTTGACAACTGTACGATGATTGCTTAGGCCGAGTTGTATCACCTTAACTTTAGCCGTAAACTATAATTTTAACCGGTGTTTTTGTATGGAGTTTTACAGAGATTTGTCATGATTAAGATGGTGCAACCTAAGGTAACTTTATTACCTACTTTGCAATAAAGAACCCTTTATTAACACCAATACAATAAAAACTTTCAAGCTCTCGTATGAAGCTGGGATAAATTCCCGATATCATATTTCGCGTCGTGTATTTTGTAAAAGTTGGTAGAAATTTATACTGACACCGCCGACGACTTGAAAAGAAAACCGTAAACTTAAAACGAGCTGTCAAGAAACTTGTTGGTCGACAGATGTACCTGCTTTTATTTTGTACTGCAGAAAGTTGTCTTTAATAATTCTTCGTGCATTTCATCAAAGAAAAAGTTTTTTGGTGGCGGGGAAATTGCATTAAAAGGTGGTTGCAAACCGATATAAACTCAAGGCCTTCGTTTATCCTACTAATATTATAAATGCGAAAGTTTGGATGTCTGGATGTTTGTTAGGCCCAGAACACACGGTGAAACGCAATTTACTATTTTGTTACTTTTAAGTTGCAACTAAGTTTCTGCCATAGATTCCGTTGAGAGACCACACATGACGCAACCAGTTTGAAACCGGTTTGAAATGGTCGAAAGTAACTAGAAGTTGCAGTTTCGTTGCAGTTGCGTTTCACCGTGTGTTCTGGGCCTTACTCTTTCACGCTTTATGACGATCTGTGACAAACGAAATTTCACGCGGGTGAAACCGCGGGCAAAAGCTAGTATTGTTATATTCACCAAAATGCATACTAATTTTGGATTTCAGTGATTAAATAGTGTTCATTTAGTGCTCGGAACAAGCTCCTCTAACTTATAGTTAACATGAAACTACTAATTACGAGTATTAACGTAGATATTCCGAAACCAAGCATACTTTTGCTTTGAAGTATACTACGTCTACTACTAACTCTACTTAAATTAATCACTTTAAAACAAAGTTACACATACAAAGTAGGTATAACTTTCGACTTGGACTTCGGTCTTATAAACATTTTTGCTTCTAAAATACCACGAGCGTTTTGTGTTAAATACACAAACATTTATTGTAACAAATCTGAAACGAAAGTAAAAGATATTATAACGGCATCCAGCTGATGTTTGAAAAGACAGCGACCTTTAAAAAAGGTGCCTATCATAACAAAGTTTATAACTTTTGGAATGAATAATTTCGTAACCCTCGAGGGTCGTCCATAATGAATATTATAAAATCTGATATCCTTTCACGATGAAAAATAAAGCCCGTTAAGTTTCATCGCGTGTGTCTAAAGCAATGGTTTAATTTGATATCACACTTTTTATTTCCATTCTGTTAATTTGGGAAGAAAAATATTAGATACCTACCTACATTACTTGCACAGTGAAATGACAGAACAAAAGGAACAATCTTATGCTCTATCGCTTACATCTATCTACTTATATGTTCCATTTGAACACGAATTTTGAACTGAGTGACACTCAAAGGCATTTTATAATATCTTGTACTGCTTTTACCCTTTGGCGGTTGCACTGGGACGAAAGCTCTCAGCTCTTTGCGGATCGCGCGGCCGGCAAACTTCCTGCCTGGACAAACAATTTCATTCTTGTTTAAAACTCGTTTTGTTACCACTTTTTTTTTTCAATTAACGTAATATGAAAAACGATTTTTATTTTGGATGCTGTAGTATCCGAATTCCAATTGTTCTCAATTATTATGGCTACCTACCGCTTTGTTAGTTCTTCTTTGGTATATAAAAGCTGCAGTTGCGTGTTTGAACCCCGTCAGGGACAACGTTAAAAACATTTTATACGTCCTGGAGTCATAGACTTTATATTTGTTATTTATTTATTTAAGGATAGTACACAGCACTTTGGGGGAGGCCTTTGTCCAGCTATATTACAATGTATTTTAGTGAGATTTTGTATAAATATTCATCCCCCCTGAACCCACTGGCGGGTAGATCAGTAGGTGCACGGACTGTACGGGTCGTGGCAGATCATCGTGGCAAATTTATATTTAAGGCTCGCAATAATTTACACCTTCAAAATATAATTAATATATTCAGTCGATGAGGTTAATAATGATTGTTCTTTTGTTCACAGGTCTGCTCCGCCTGCAACAGCTGTACCAGAGCCTTCAGCCCGGCAACGCCACCTTCCGTATATCGAACGTGAAGCGCGTGTCGAACTCCACCGACGTGGTGGACTTCCTCCGAGCCATCGAGCGCCTCGACCGCTGGAGCAACAAGCACGTCGTCCTGGACTCCGCCACACAGCTCGCCAAAGACGCGCTAATTCTGCACGTACGCGACGTGCACCTCGGCCGAAGAAACTATCACTATTTTCTCAGCGGCTTGGTGAGTAATCCCCAGACTCCTTGTTAGTAAACTGAATTCAGGCGCCCCTACTTTCTCCTGTAGCGCCGCGTTCCGTTGGATTTGGAGCGCACTAATTACCTATAAAGTCGGCTCACTGAAACACTAGCGCATCTTGACTTCTTGTTTCCGATGCTGGTAATGAGAAATAGTCTGGAGGTCGTAACCTCGATAACTTTAGTAGTTAATTGCAAAGTACCTGTTTGGAATAAGAGTATGTGCAGATTAGTTTTAATCTTAATTTTCTTCTATAGTATATTATGAAAGCATCACAGGAAATCCAAGGCCCCAAACTTAGTAAGATACAGAATGTTTTTTCAAAACATTCAACACACTATAAGTTAACTAAACTAACTATTTGCGCAGTACGAAATATAATTAATTATCCAAATTAGAGTACTGAAACTCTCTAAAAACTTGGTGACAAGAAAAACATATCAACTCCACCGACGCAGGTTTGAAGCTTTTCAAACGAATACAAAGTTGTGAAATGGCATGCGGAACTATAATTTTCATAAACACGCTCACACCAGCATCTAAAGTTAGGGCACTAGACGAGGTTTTGCTACAAATAAGTTAGGCAGAATACTGTGGTGTTGAAAATGTACTGCAATGGGCTTAATTTAATTAAATACACTTACACGTTCATATCGCGGAACAATAAACTGTAACCGCCTGTAAACAATATTTTTGTATGTATACATACAGGGTGGAAACGATAAGTGATCTCATTCGATTATTTCTAAACTATACAAGATATCGAAAAACTGGTTACTGATCCTGAAAGTGCTTTAGGTACTAGCTCTATCCAACGGTACCAATAATAGGTTACAGAATTAACTGGATCTATCCTAAAATTAAATGTTTTCAGCCTCCATACTAAATGTATGCCAGCCAAACAATATTAGGAGAATTTTTTAAAATTAAATAATAAACACTTAAAATGAACTCGTAAATTGCATTTTTAATTAAAATTATTCATGGAAATCATTGGTTTTAGGCTTGATTTGAAACCAATGATTGAGTGCCATGACTGTGGCTGTACTAAATGTATGGAAGCTGGAAACATTGAATTTTCGGATGGATCCAGTTTATTAAGTAACCTATTATTTGTACCGTTGGATAGAGTTCGTGAAGCACTTTCAGGATCAGTAACCAGTTTTTGAATATCTTGTATGGTTTTTAATATTGTTTGGTTTTACTAAATGTATGAAAGCTGGAAACATTGAATTTTCAGATAGATCCAGTTTATTCTGTAACCTATTTATTGATACCGTTTGAAAGAGCTTATGAAGCACTTTCAGAATCAGTAATCAGTTTTTCGATATCTTGTATAGTTTAGAAATAATCAAGTGAGATCGCTTAACGTTTCCACCCTGTATAATTACTAGCTGTGTGACTAGGTAAGTACGCGTGAAAAACTTATCATTTCTAAGGGTATGAAAAATTGTTTACGCTCTATTGTCAGACCTACTTTTCACGGTTTTAGAGTACGGTACACGGTATTTCAAATTCTATGTAAGAATATTCAGCAATAAAAATGCAAACAATAGTTACAAATACAATCCAAATAGACGGAAAATTAGTTTTCACAAGTGAGCAAACCCAACATCGTGTTTTCTCAGAAATACAGCTTTTTCAATTTTAATATCATTATTACAGCCTTTGTTGAATATCTTAATAAAGAAATTCCGGTTGTTATGATCATAGCCGAGAGTAATTTAATTGTATCTTTTAGGTTTTAAATGGAATTGAAATATCCGTCGATAAACGGATCACTTGAACAGCTGAACCAATTCGTCTATTGAATGTTTTAAAATATTCTTTATTAACAGGTTTAGTTTTTACGAATAGGAAAATTGGAAATGTTTCCTGGAAATTCTCAATGTAGTAAAAACTGGACGTCCTCTTCTGTACAGTACATTCTTGTACGAATTCAAGGCCCACCTTTCTATAGATGGATATGCTTGGTTTTTTTTAAGAAATACCAAAAAAAGATCGAATGTTAAATTCTATAAGACTCCGTCATTATGCTAATACACTTAACTTTACACAGGTAGGTATCATTTAATTGGTATTGAACAACACAACGTCTGTCGTTGAGTCTGATTAAAATATCATCGAATGCAGTCGCTAGTAGTAGACATTTCGTTGACAGTATATTTGAACGGCAGGCAGGATAACTATCAATATTCACGTGCATGTTTGAAAAGCTACTATAAATGAAGAGGAAATGAGGATGTCCAACGTACTCGTATGCTGCAAGCGCAGTCCTCGCATGTGTTATTACGTATCACGCTTCCTGCGCTCTGTCATCACATTAAAACACGCGGAATGTTAAACAGCATTCAATGAAATGCTAGCTGTGACGTAGCTAGTTATTATTCTCCGCGTCGAGTTCGTTGTATGAATACACAAGCTTGTTCTTTGAAAATAGCCTTATGTGAGAGTGTATCACTATTATGGAACAAAGGTTTTCAAGGGATACGGGGAGAGTATGACATGTTGTGACCCGTTGTCCTAGCTGAGCGACGGAACGCGACATGAAGCGAAGCAACTCGATGTAGTGCGACCAATACTTCACGTGACGTGTGTCATATCCAACGTATAAGCCACTATACAACGACTTCGCAATGGGTCGCGTCGCGTTGAATTGCGTTGCATCGCGTTGCCGCGTTTGTTTGTCAACGGGTTTAGCAACAAAACCTAAATTCACAAGAATAGTAAATAAATACACTTAGGACTATTATTTTTTAATTATTTCAAAGCATCTAGCCTTGTGCTTTCGTCTTTTCCAACCGATAATACAATGATCGGCCAGTTATTGTGCGTTATCACCACAGTCACTCCAGGCATAGAGGGACGCTCGACCGTAATAAATGGCTCTCCGCTCCATACCGAATTCTGAATATTGGCTTTAAGCCCGTTGCATTCAATGGAATAGGTACGTATGTTTTGACTAATCGTTCTATACAATCCATTTATTTGCAACGTTAACTTCAATAAAAGCTGTCCAGCTGTAAATGCTCAAAGTTAAGGTATACAATAGACATGTATTTCTTCTATGTAGTTGTTGATATTTTAAATAATTTGACCTTACTTAATTAATACAGAACAACGCAAATTCTGAGAAATTTCAATTTGTATTTGAAATGTCCAAGGATATTTATTATTATTATTGTTAATTAATTGAAAGACTTTTGTGATAGGTAATGGGTGTTATTTCTGCACAGAATAAACTTAATATTGTTCATAATTATATTTCTTTAAATACTGTCTAATTACTAACTGTATCACTTAAGCCCAATATTGTATTAATATGGACCATTATGGGATACATTAAGTATACATTATGTACTAAGTAATCCATCGGTATTTACATAATTAAATCGAATTAATCCAATAAATAGTTAAGCGACTATTCACACCGACAAACAACCATTGTACAACAGCCAGTTTTTTTCATTTGAAACATTTAACTACTAAATATACAGTATATTTTTAGTCAAAAATAATGAATAGCGTTGTATAACTTTCTCCCGGGACAAACTTGACCTTCACTGGTTGGGTTTTTGGCAGTCAAGCTGTAGAACCTGGCTACACAGGAGTTGCAGCGGTGGGAAAGAGAGGTGGGCATAGTCCCGTGTTATGGAAATAGTTAGTTTTAGCATTTTAATGTAAAAGTCCCAACCAACTAAATCTTAGTTTGTAGAAAGTACTGTTCTGAATCACCTACGCTCTGGATTTAGAAACTACTAAAAAGAATTATAGATTTGCTATTCAAAAGTGACTTAGTATAAAACCAACTGTACAAGAGCGCGGGTTTTGTAAGTTTACTTATCTTTTGAACTGAACGAAAGGAGCGCATCTAAAAATACTCGTAAAAGGTTAGTTAGAAAGTTAAGTTAGATAAGTTGTTTTGTAGTTATAAATTATATTTATTACTTATTACATAGACTGAGTTGCACCACCTAACTTTGACCGTAACTCTGACGATAACCGTTGTTTTTCGTATGGAGATTGACAGATTTTTGACGTTTGTTAAAGTTGATGTAAGATGGTGCAACCCAGCCTTAAATATTTATTATTTTCGCAGGTAATGGACGATCGCTGGGAGAAAGAAGTAACGGAGTTTGGCGCTGTCAATATAACCGGATTTCGACTCCTGGACACTTCACGGAAAGTTGTTCGAGACTTTATTGATGTCTGGAAAAAAGATTCTATCTCGGTAAGTTTAAATAAGAAGTATTAAGAAGTTCTTTTTTATTTTGTTCCTACAAAATGGAGTAAGTTCGAAATCGACATTTTGGGTGTATTATAATACCTACTTCTACTAGGCTATAAACATTCTAATCAGCTGCGACAAAAATGACACAGCTTGGAATCATAACATGAAATGAAAACAAAGCATTTCGATTACGGATTATCGATATACGGACTGGTTGTTGTTACATATTATTATGGAACAATGCCTTAATTCATCTGCCAAGTGTGTAAACAGATGCAACAGAAAATCAATGGTCTTCAGCCGCCAGCAATGCAGTGCTTAAATGACCTATGACTGTTACGGCTGAGATGCAATAGGTACATCCGGGACACGGCTTAGCTTACTCGAGTATTGTAGCTCGTATATGCCCCGGATCATTTGTTAGGAAGAGAATCTGCAATAATTTCCGGAATGATCCACAATACGCCAGTTACTGCCAGCTACGAGCACTAAGTAAGTACACAAACTACTATCTAGTAAATTTCTCATCTCGATCTTGTCTTGAACCTGAAACTTGCTCAGTCGCTAAAATTCAAACAGCAAAACGAAACTAGCGTAAGCGATAATAATGACTAGGTTGGCAAAATTAAAAACACGTTAAAATTCATGAAACTTAAATAGCGAAATATTTAGTTTCGCGTCATCAAAAATCTGTATTTTCAGTGATAGTGACCTAATATTTTTGCAGATTTACATGCATAAAGTTCTGAGTTTCCTCAATAATGCTTCTTCAAAACTGAATTCAAAACCTAACCTAAAAACATCGCGACTGACACTATTGATATTTTAAACTATTATGTTGCATTTTTACTATAAAATTATCATTTATTTTTACTATAAAATAGATATTGTTGCAATAAATCCCGTGAAGTGATAATTTGACACTATTGATGTTAGATATAATAACCGAAGGTATTTCCTTATTCCCAATTTCCCATATTATAGTAAATAGACTCCGTGTAGTTTATATTTTCACTCAATGCTGGATACAGAATATTTTCCGACTCAATTTTACTGGTTGGATGTGAAGTGAAAAGATATTTTGAGCACTTTGACTGTGAGGATAATTTCACCCCTATACTGTAAAGGTATTTTTAGACTCACTCTTTAGATTCAAGCTCTAGCTAGAAAAAGTAAGAATACCTACACTTTGACCTCAACGTACCTAATTATCAAGGTATGCTATTTCACTACACTCGAATGTCATTCATTAGTGATTTAGGGTCCTAATTAGACAAGAAACTATCAGTAATAGGACACACAAAACAAATTATAGTTGTTGCTACAGTTATGAGGCTTCATTGCGCGTTATTTTTGTTTTCTCTTCTAATTCTTTCAACGAGACCTCATGAACCGTTAAATTTATTTGTCTGTGATTAATTACCGATCACCTCATAAAGGTAGCAGGAAGGTGCTGTATGAGACCGCCAAAAACCGGCCATTATGGAAATCATTGGGGGAGGCCTATGTTCAGCAGTGGACGTCCTATGGCTGAAATGATGATGATGAGTAATTAAATACGAGTACTTATAACAAAAATCTGACGCAATTCAAGGACCTTAATTGGAGCTGGTCGAAAAATGATTTCGTTGGAAAGTTGCTAAACATTTGCAAAAACCGTTACGAATGCCACTATTGCTTCGCCCGCCATTGGCCAAAAGCCTTATCAGCACATCTGCGAGTTTCCTTCATTATTCTTCTCCATTGCACCCTGGAAGTAACCGAAAAGGTTTTTCATTGAAATTCGTCAACTTGAGACGTCAGCCTCCGACTCCCTCGTAGCTCGAAGGGGGCGAAGTCCGCCATTACATATTTACGTGATGGCAATATCAAGTCCGCTGCAAACGGGACGATTTCCCGTCGAAGCACGCCCCCGAATCATTATGAATCTCTAATTATACATTCAGAAGACGAACTTGTTAAACCCTCCTTTTTTAAGAAAAACATCTTGTTGGCGGCTTCGACACGGCGATCGCTATTAACTTAATTTTGTAAGCAAATCGCCTCATCTCGTTTAATAGCCTTTTATAATTCGGTATTTTATAAGTTTTTTTTTAGAAAACCAGCGTAACTAATGTCTAAACTATTTAAGTATAATATTCAGGTTTAGTGTACGCTTGAGTTCTCCACATAAAGTTTATTTGCTTTAAAAAGTGCTTTGAGTAGGTATGTGAAGCTTAAGTTAATGAAATCAGGGAGCTTGAGCTAAATGAGATCATATCTTTACATTTTGTTTGCTTAGTAGCTCTTTTGCAGTTTATTGCAGTTTCTAAAATGCAGCTTGATATGAATTTGTTCAACATACGAGTTACAAGATTTTTAATTTTAATCTAACAGACCAATGTTGCTTACTTTCATTTCATTGTGACATACTTGATGTAGTATGTATGTATTAAAACATATATTATACAAGAATCAATGCATTTTATGGATAGTAATCAATTATGGGTTTTCTTTGGCAGAGCGCAGTTCAAATAACAAAAATTGTTTGGTTGAACTGTTGAACATGTTTAAATGAATAACATATTATTATGTATTTGAAACAAACAGGATGTGTTGTTTCAGTAACTAGTGCAAATAAGTGTATTTTTATTGCATTCCAGGTAATTTAACTATGCGAGTATGTAATAAATACTCGTAAGTGTTGAAGTAAACAATTGCCAACCATTAAAATCATTGGTGTAGGTTAACTTTATATTTATTAAGCCCTAACCACATTGTGGGCGGACACAATGTTAATTATAACAGTAATAATTTTATTGGTCTCATAAAATTAAGCGATTTATTTGCAAATAACATACTTAGAATAAAGTTGTTCATTACACAAAAATAACATTTAAGTAATTTAGCTTATAAAGAAAAATAAAAAATATCCTAGCGACAAAGACCGCCTAAATTGTACCGTTTCGATTTAGTATTTCTTTTATACTTGTGTCTGTGTGTGATGTAAAATAAAACATAATAATTACGAGTAAGTAGGTATCTATCTCTCTAATTCATTTAATATGAATGACATCCCAAAAACAATACAAATACAACGTCAAACCAAATAAGATTTGAAAGAATGATAGCGTTCATGAGCTGTATTACGAAGGCCAGATTAAATTAAACTCACTGTGCATAAGTCATGACCTGACGCTGGTTTTTGGTGGGCCCTGGAATGGAATGGACCATGGCATAGGTACTTGGCGTAAAATTATTAGACCATATCCGAAAAATAGCACCGCGCTTCGGTGCCTGAAAAAAGCTGCTCAGTAAAAGTAAGGGATTAATCGCAAATCTAAAAACCTTAACGCCAAAATTTACATGCGGGTGTCCCTTTGCAGGAAACGGACATGTGGTAGACCCAGAGTACGGTAGGGATAACTTTAAAAACATCTTAGGTAGGGATCCCTTTCCCTACCTATATTGATAAAGCATAGTGTAGAGACTTCAAGTTATCTCAAGGTAGCTTCTCATAGATTTTGATGTCCTTGTTGACGACCACTAGAAACTTTTATGACGACTAAGAATAAGAAAAGATAAAATTGTCACCGTAGTCAGAAGAACAATTAATTAAATCTGATTTTAAAGGCAATTGTAGATCAATGAAATGCGTTATTATTTACAATAATCTTACGTTATAACACCGAGATCTTACAACTGAAGTCTTCTATTGACTGTTCATACAAATTAATTTATTTACACGGACGATTTAATATGAGGTTACCGAATTTTTAATCCGACTTCAATATTAGTCCCATGCTAATAAAATAATTCCTACTGGTTTTTCCAATTTCGAGGCACATCTTACATACAGTAAATCATACAGTCTTTACGCTGTTTGGTCATGAACATTAGCTTATATACTATATTTGTTACATTTTATTTATATTAACCTGCAGACAGTGGTGACTGAGTTTGTTGCTGCGCTTCTTCTCAGCACTTGCCAAATGTTGGTCTCGAAGCGCTGGTAGGGTAAAAAGATTATGAGACATGTAGAGGCTCCTTAAGAGCAAAATGACGATTTGTAAGAACTATTTATTCATCAACAGCCCTTTACAGTCCACTGCTGGACTATGAGCCTCCTCCACTATAGTGGAGGGTTTTGCCATAATCTCCACGCTTGGCAGGCGGGTTGGAGATCGCAGTTTAAAAGATTGATGTTTTTCAGAGAGCGCTGCTGCCCATTCTCTGTTTGATGTGTAGTCCCTAAGTCGCCTCTTACGACACCCGCGGGAAGAGTAGGGGTTGGTGACAAATGTATTCTACTCTGCCGTCACCACACGGCACTAGATAAGAATAAGAACTATTTATTAGTCTAAACAAATAAAGAAATTTTGACTTTGACTTTGACTTTGATCGTTGCATATTTCTAATGTTACTAAGACGTGACAATATTTTATGCCACGAACGTTATTTGATGCAAACGACTACTTTCTGAGTATTTATTCAACCACACATAGTGCACGGTTGGGTCACATACTTGTATTTGTCAATTGTAATGTTGACAAAGCTCTCGCGGTCACGCGCCCGTAATAAGTTACGGGCGGAGTTATAATACTGTGTGTTGAACATATTTGCTTTACACGAAATCAAATTTAATGATGGTTGAAAATGAATTTATCAAAAACTTTTGCTGAGAGTATATTGAAGTGAATAAATACGTCTTTTAATGAGTTTGAGGGTTCAGCTAATTTATTTTAGGATATGAGTGGGTAAGTTCCCCCTTCTTTGCACTATTTGCTAGCTTTTGTCTACGACCTCGCTATTATCTATTTCCATCAATCCCGAAGTTTTCCATGAGAACAACAAAAAAACCGACTGATGTAGGTATTCATATTATATCTGTGTCAACTAAAGACCAATATAAAATGCTTGATTGTTTGTAATATAATATTCTTGAGATACATAGCCCCATTATCAACAAAGGCAAATCAGGTGTGCACCTAGGATCTAAACTTAGGAGACTGAAAATTTTGGATTAGGGTGATCGCTATAGTAATTAGCCAATACATAGTTACTGACCAACTTGCCTAAAATAAAAAGAAACAAGCCTAATGGAAGTGATTAAGAGAGGAAAAGAGACAAATATTTTTTCTGAGCAATACGCAGTCCAATGTAGTAAATATTTTTGTCTCTTACTTATTAACAATCCAATATACCAATAACTATGTATAGGCTAATTACTATAGCAATCACCCTATATTTAAAATTGTTTTTAAGCACCTTTTCCGAATACAAGAATGATCGCCTTATTGAACAGACTGGTTTGAAACAGTTAATGGAAGTATTAGTAGAGATTGACTTTAAAATTAGTGAGAGTGGAATTAGTAATCATCAGGTCATTTCATCAACACAGTGATGATTAAAGGTGAAAGCTTCATCCAGAATCATCAACCACAGAGGAAATGGCAAAACAAATGGAATTGTTATTATGGCAAAAGACTTAGAATTGTGATAGTTACTCAGGCGAAATTAGAACAAGCTGTTTTGGGCTGACACTGTGTAGGTTTGTTGTCGACATGAAAAGAAGAACAAGCCGTACCACCAACCGAACCGAAACGAATAGAAAATATTGCCCCCACTAGGAATCGAATCCGAGACTATTAAAGCAAGTGGTCTTTCAACTAAGAAGATCATAGAAGTTAAAGTTAAAATGGCGGTTTTCAATGTGACTTCTTGTTCCAGGCTCAAGCAGCTCTCATGTACGACGCAGTGCAAGTTCTGATAGACGCAGTGATGAGACTCATGCGCAAGAAACCTGATGTTCTTCGCAGCACCATCCGCCGCAACGCCAACCTGAACAGCAGCAAAACCATGGACTGCAGCCCCAAGGGGAAACTGACGCCATACGAACACGGAGACAAGATCTCGAGGATGATCAAAAAGGTAATGTTGAAGTTATTTACTTATTAGTTTAAGAGATTGATACTCGTAAATTCAAAACAAACATTTTCTATCTGTCTATAAATCTTCTAGGATCTACATTGTCACAATTCTCTCAGTAAAAGAAGACTCTTTAAGTAGGTAATTAATTATGATCATTAAAATGTTAATATAATTAAAATGTATGATTTGAATTTATTATGTGGTCTGTTTAATGCAAACAACATTAAATTGAATGAGCATTTTTAACGCCTTTGTGATCAAGCTTATTGAATATTCTCGGAAAATGGATAAAGGGTGGATATATTTTTTTTAATTCAGTCTGCTTTCATTTTTATGACGTACTATCGACCATAGTTCCTGCTACCCATTTCCGTTTTTTCACTCGCTCTCATCAAATGGCGAGTGTCTGCGATAGAACGAGACGACATGACCGGAAATAGGTAGCTGTAACTGTGAGCGATAGTACACTTACTCCGCACATTAATTTCGTAATTTTCCCTAGTAGAATTAGAAGTCTCCATGCGATCTCTTTATATTTTTTTTCGTGAAATTCAATTAATTAAACGCTTGATCCATCCATTGCTCCGGCCAAAGAATAGTTTTATGCTTAAAAATACATAGTATTCTCTCTGTAAAACCTAAATTACCTGACATCAATTTACAAGCCCTATTGCCCCTGCGAGTGACTGATGCCAATTCATACATTCAATTACGACTGCTGGCGAATGCTTCGTTATTCATGCGTGCAGGATGTGTACAAATACTTTGTAGGTAGATGACGTCATTGTGAATATGTAAAATTTCACGTATCATGTGCGTACGTAAGCGTCGCTATTCGTTACGTTGATATTATGTCGGCGCGCGGCGCACGGGTAATATCGGGTTTGACGTCTTAATGGTGTGCGTCGAACTAAGTACCGTTTCTCCCTCAAGCGAGCCGCTAACTGAATTATAATATCATATTAATTAATAAACAGAAACCCCTGCACAATCTCACCAGGAACGTAGTGCAGGTTATAAGATATTCCGTTAAGGCGATTACATGGCCGAACGACCTTGAGCATTAGAGCGAGACAACGCGCCTCACGCCGCGCGCCCGCGCTTCTGCCCGATACCAAAGTGCGCTCAGAATACAGATGCNTAAAATCGCTTCAGCCGTTTAGGAGGAGTAGGAAATTTCTTTGGTGAAATTAGAAGAAAGTTAAGAATTTTTTTTGTCAAAACTAATAGTTGTAACAAAAAAAACGAACAACAATTTTTTAGTTTAAGATATTATACATCTCACACATATTTTTTTTTCTTGTTTGGATCATCCATTTAGGAGGAGTAGGGATTCAAAGAGAGGTCTATTTTGCAGTTTTGCCTCACCTATCGCCTTAATAGGATTCCAGCACGATTTAAGTCGGCATAAAACATCAAATCCAATTTGAAATAAATTAAATCTCTTTATAAATTTCTGCGAATGCGTGGCTTGAGGTCTTTTTATCTGTCTCAAAGTTAATTAAATCCCAGAAATGCCGTCCACCCACTGACACATTTTACTTTAAGCGTTGGAAATGATTCGCTATGGAATATTTGAGACGTTCTGCATGAAAGATTTTTTATTTATTGCAAAATTCACACATAAGTAGCTTTATTCGTCTATCGAAATTCAGTCGGCTGACTTTTCTGAAAGAGAAAAATATAAAGCGATAAAAATTACAAATAGAACGATCTCTACAAGCTATTCAGGGTGTTAGGTAAATGGGTATACCTATGAGCCGACACTAGCCCATGTTAACATAGTGATATAATAAATGGTATGGTGAAGTCAGAAATTTGATATCATCCTTTTATTTTTTTTAATTTTCATACAAAATAATTTTTATAAACTCCGATTTGAATGAAAATTAAATAATTAAAATGAAGATATCAATTTTCTGAATTCACCATACCATTTATATTACCATGTTAACATGGGCTAGTGTCGGCTCATATAGCCATTTACCTAACACCCTGTATAAAGAGGACACAAGAGTTCCTTCGTTGCTACATGCATCGTGTAGTAAGGATATAGCTCAACTCGCGGTTAATAGTGCGTTTTCAGTCAACCCACTTTTTCTGAAATCGGTTGCGTGACAAGTGTAACATTCGCCCTGTGTCAACTTGAGTGCTCGTTTTCAAATATTTTCGTAGATTTGACATTATTTTTTTTAGTATTTCGTTATGCACCACTTAAATTACCTAAGAAGTTAGGAAATATGTATCTGCTACTGACAATGTTAGGTATAGGAATTATCCTTAAAATATTTAACAGTAACATCCAAATTAATCCAGGATTTTCAACACATAGTTCTATACAGGGTGTTAGGTAAATGGGTATATGAGCCGACACTAGCCCATGTTAACATGGTCATATAAATGGTATGGTGAAGTCAGATATTTGATATCATCATTTTAATTTTTTTAATTTTCATACAAAATAAATTTTATAAAATCCGATTTGTATGAAAATTTAAATAATTAAAATGAAGATATCGATTTTCTGACTTCACCATACCATTTATATGACCATGTTTACATGGGCTAGTGTCGGCTCATATACCCATTTACCTAACACCCTGTATATTTCATACAAAATAAATTTTATAAAATCCGATTTGTATGAAAATTTAAATAATTAAAATGAAGATATCGATTTTCTGACTTCACCATACCATTTATATGACCATGTTTACATGGGCTAGTGTCGGCTCATATACCCATTTACCTAACACCCTGTATATTAATTTTTCTTTGGTGTTTTCGAAGTAAGTATATAAAATAAATAAATAAATAAATCTTTGGACAATTTCACACAGCGCCAGCTAGCCCCAAAGTAAGCAACTTAATGCTTGTGTTATATGGGTGCTAGCTTAACGGATATACTACTTATATACTTTTTTTTTTAAATACATAAATATTATACATAGTCACACCCAGACCCGTCACAGAAATTAAAATTCATCATTTCAATATCTGCCCGGCCGGGAATCGAACCCGGGACCTCTCGGCATAGTAGTCCGTTCTGAACCACTACACCAAACGGCCGACCGAAATATATGTGGGAATAAGGAGTTTGGTTTAGTTTTTATTTTTAATTATGTTCTTTATGGTGAGATGTCAGATTTGGTTTTAGATGACGTTAGCTGTCTGTAAAAAGATGTACGATTTTGTAAGACGATTTTATTAAAATGAAGAACGAATAAAACCATTATGATTTTCAATTGAACAATCTCACAATCCCACAACTTTTTTGGGGGCTCGTCCGGGATAGAGAGGTTAGAGCAGGTGATCATGGGGGTCAAGCTCATCATTGAAAATTAGTGGTTCAAGACGACGAAAGACGAAGATTCAAGACGTACAATACGACGAAAGACGAAAGATGTTGCTTTGTTAGACTTGTTACGACGGTGATTATTGATGGTGATTGATGATTTCAAGTAAAGTATCTTACTTACGACGACGACTTACGACGAAGACAATTAAGACGAAAGATATTTTNACAATAATCCTTAAAATACATATAAACTTGTGTCATTCTATAAAAGACGTATAGATTACATACCTTGTCACGCTGGCAATACACGCAAAAGCTGATAAATGAACACATGCGGCTCTGGAAAGATGAAAATTTATCACGATAACTACGATGACGATTCACTGAAGAGAGAGACAGAATTTAAAATGGATCTTGTACTCATAAAGACCGATAATTTTACCACGTGGTAAGTAATCATTGGGACGAATTTTTGATAAACACACAGTCTTACAGGGGTATTTAGTGCAAAAAGGAGTGGATTGGATACTTAAATGACTGAAACTAAGTTAATTTGTGCTTTGTTAATGACTTAATTACATCTAAATAAATGTATCAATATCGGTTTAAAATACAACATCGCCAAAAGCTTCGCAAAATATTAGCAACTAGACTTGCACAAAGATATCTACGTAGAAAATAACGTATCAATTGTTATATATTATAATGCGAATAAAAGCTTCGTGGAAGAATTAGGCATCTAGACTTGCACAAAATTACCAGCATAATGTGCACAAAAGTTTCGTGGAAAAACTACGCAACTGAACTTGCACTACGATACCCACCAAATAATATCCTAAAATAAGTATGCAACAATAGATACGCGAAAATGTTTTTTAAAGTCTTCGTGGAAGATNGAAGAATACCACGAGTGTCAACAAGATGTTGGGGTTCAGATATCGTTCCGAGACTTAGAGAAGTCAATGAATGTTTTTACTGGCGATGATACCTATCCTGTAACGGAATTTATAGAAGAATTTGAAGATGTTGCTGATTTGATGAAGTGGACTAATGTGGAGAAGTTAGTTTATGCGAAGAGATTGCTGGGAGGAACTGCTAAGTTGTTTTTGAGGTCTATTGGTAGAATTAAAGACTACAGTAATTTGAAGAGAGCGCTCAAGGAAGAATTCGCACCCAAACTAAATAGCGCGATGATCCACAAGAGACTAGCTGCACGGAAGATGAAGAGTGATGAAACTTACCAACAGTACTTTTTGACGATGAAAGAGATAGCTTTGCACGGGAAAGTTGAAGATGCTGCTCTGATGGAGTACGTTATAGACGGAATTAGAGACGTTGAGACGAATAAAGTTATACTTTATGGCGCCGCGGATATTAAGGAGTTCAGGAAGAAACTAGAGATATACAGCGAGTTCATGAAGAAGTTAGCGAAACCGACACCTTCGACGTCAAATTACCAAGGAAGTCAAAGTAATCGAAGATCGGGAAATGATGAGCATCCTAAGAAAAGGTGTTATAACTGCGGAGCTTTCGATCATCAATCCTCTGCATGCGAAAAGGGAATTAAATGCTTTAGGTGCAATGACTTTGGACACAAGCGTGATGATTGTCCCAATAATGAATCGAAGAAGACGTTGAATATTCTGAAGGTAAGAAAAGATGATGTACCGTTAGAGAAGATTAAGATTGAAGTAGTGGAAAAAGATGATCAAGTTTTAGTATACGACAAAGACGACTCTAAACACACGAATGAAATTCAGACAATGTTGGAAGACTGCAAGCCTACAAATGAAATAACGAAGAGTAACGACTGTCAGATTGAACACCGACCTGCACCACGAATGAAATACGCCGACGCCCTAAGCCGTTTGCCTACATGTTTAGTACTTACCGACACGACTGCACGACTGAAGAAGGCACAAGATGAAGACGAACCTATTCTGATGCTGAAAGAATCCTACCAGAATGACATGTTGCCCAAAGAGAGAAATGAAGATGGATTATTTGTAGTACCGAAGAAGATGCATGACGGAATTATAAGAGAGAATCATAACCAGGAAGGACTGTTTGACCCGAATGATAAAGGAGATGATGAACTTGTTAAGATGATAAAAGAGGAAAACGTAGAAAGAATGAACGAGACAAGACGAGAGTTAAGAGAAAAGGCAAGAGAATTTGTAGAGACAATTCAAGATGGAAGTGTTAGAGTTTATAACAAGAAAAGAAAGAAAGCTAGAACATACGAGAAAGGTGATTTGAGAATTGGAAATACAGAAGACCCTAATTTTATGAAGACGTGGATTGCCACCGAAGACGAAGGTATTTCATCTGGGACAGATGAATAATCAGGAAGGCCGTGTGGGATTAAGGAGTTTGGTTTAGTTTTTATTTTTAATTATGTTCTTTATGGTGAGATGTCAGATTTGGTTTTAGATGACGTTAGCTGTCTGTAAAAAGATGTACGATTTTGTAAGACGATTTTAATAAAATGAAGAACGAATAAAACCATTATGATTTTCAATTGAACAATCTCACAATCCCACATATACATAACTGCGACACCAGTCCATAAAATATGCATAAATATATGAACTAGATAAGAACTCTTAGTATCCAACATTTCTCAAAAGTCTACATCCTATTGTGTACAATATACACTAATGACGCTAAAATACGCGCGACGGTCACGCTTAATCACAATAATTACAAAGGCGTCACCGCACAATCTCAACGCATACGTAAGCTGGGAGAATTTAAACCCAAACGGAATTACTGGTACGCAGGTGTTGAATACCGGGTCCGTCTTTTATATCGAAGAGGACAATAGTGCCGCCGAAAATCGATACTGTCGATATATCGCGTACCATTATCGCAGACGATAATTGAAACTTGTGAATCGGTAAATTAATATTTTAATATAACATAACACATTAAAAGTACACGTAACTGGTCGAATCTGTTTTGTTAATTTATATCATTTAATTTACGCCATTTATTGTTGTATACTATGTAAATTGTTACTGCACTTTAGATGTTAAAGAAGATGCACCTAGCTGTACTCGTAAGCAGTGACTCCTCTGACATCAAAGGCACATATGAAAAAAAAACATACGGGTCGAATTGAGAACCTCCTCCTTTTTTGAAGTCGGTTGAAAAGCACTTTCTTGCTTCAAATCTGGACTGGGAGCGGTGTAACGTGAAAGTTTCGCACCCTTCCTGGAATAAGTACGCAAGTGAAAAATGCCAACTTTTCAGGAGCGTAAAAAAACTGTCCTAAAAATTTATAACCATTATTAAAAATATGTGTTATACATCAAAAGATAGCTAAAAATGTCTGTGAGGGGCCTATGTATTTATATTTAAAATACACTTAATAGGTTTTGAGAAAAACTTAAAAAAGAGCGTTGCGTACTTATTCCGCGAAACATATTTAACACCTTGTTGTTGTAATTATGAATATTGCATTGTTGACATGTAAAGGAATACATGCTGTTTGGTATTATTGCAGAGAACCACTTATTGGCGTTCAGATTTAGTCGTGCATTCAACGTGTAAGTGTAGTTTACGTAGTTTTTCCTCGAACTATTCGTATTGAAATAAATTCGTAAAAAGGATAACGTACTTTTACCTTGTGAAAAATTACATTACTTATGGTTGTATTTAAAATTATAGCTTTATTCAAAATTAAAAAGTTACAATAATTTTGCATAACTATATTATAATTTTCGGAAATTGCATTTNCCAAATAGTATCCTAAAATAAGTATGCAACAATAGATATGCGAAAATGTTTTTTAAAGTCTTCGTGGAAGATATACGTAACTATTAATATGCTATTATTCATACGGAACTTTATTAAACAATTAAGTGCAAATGTATTTACTTCGTTTTTGCTATGGAAATTTAGATGTTTTAATGTTGCAATATTTTACATATTTGTACATAATGTCTTCATTTTTAAGAGAAAAATTATGAAAAAAATTGACAATATGTATTACCTCCTCCTCGATTTTTTAGTGCAATAAAAAAAATATGGCACAAGTGGACTTGCATACTTCTTCCAGGGGGGGTGCGGTTTGTCCATTATATTTTTAATATTTAAGTCGCGAGCTCGTTACATCGGATGGTAATGATGTTCATTTACTTACACTAAATTCTCCACGGCGAATTCGAATAAGTATACATTAATACACGATTTTCGCCAAATCCATTTTTGAGGTGGATTTTACCTTACTTACTCATAGTGCACTTTATTTGCTTTTAGTAATGAAATCTTTTGATTAAAGACTTTTGAGTGCTTTAACGGAAAATGGCTTATTAGCACGATGATTACCCGTGATTATACCATACTACGCCATAGTTGAGGTGAATATTCTACTATGTAGGTACATGTCGACACCCTGAGTAATCCGAGCCGATTGAGTATCGATTCTTTTCTCGATTATCTGGCAGCCCTAATCCACACCCTTGGTTTCGGGACGCCGACGATTAATTAGGTTTTCTGGGTGACGCCTAATTAACCAAACTCGCTAACCGGCTCGACCTGTCGGAAATATGAGAACCCGCGTTTTCATAATTCATATTCAAATTTTTTACCAGCTACTTATTATGAATGGGGTTTGAAAGCTGAGCGTATTATGCCTTTAGATTTTTAGCCGTTATTTACCTCGTTAATATGTGGTTTTAGGTACTGCTGTTGGAACATAAGTGTTCTTAGTACCAGTATATTCATAAAAGCGCAAGCTGTGTATGAGTATTATCAAACTTTGTTCCGTACTTACTTACTAGTTTTTCTCTTAAACATACAAAATACTTAGTTATAGAATTTTAAACGTTAACTCCATAGCGAATAGTTTCTTTTTCCTGTATTTTTAAACTGAAATTGAATTGTCAGTCAAATACGTGGTGCTACGATATTTTACCAGCAGATTCTTTTGAAACTAACTCTGTCACACGCGGTGATTTCTATTGGACTCGTTTAAGCGAAAAATTATGAATTAGTTCTAAACCAGTATAATATTTTTTCATTTCAGCAATGCTCAAAAATTATTTAAAGTTAATTTATTCGTCAGAAATGTGTTAGTGGCTGACGTATTTTTATTGTCTAGAAAAAACTTATAAGATGTCACCATTTTCCACTACATTTCTTGTGTTTGCTCGTGAAATTCAGTAAACAACAGTACCTACCACGATGTGAACGAATATGTTTGATATATGTTGCGTCCCTAAATTCCACCGTATTGAATATTTTAGCAGTTAGAAAAAACTTTATATTAACTCGCAACTTTGCCAAAAAATACGGTGAGAGCAACCCACATAATATCGGTACTTACGAACGCCAAATACTAGCTACAAGGTAAATGCCAGATTTTAGGAAGTTTATGAATTTTTGATAAGCAGTTGACGTGTCTGTGGAGTTGACTTGTAGTAACTACGAGTACTACATTTTTGCAGTCAAATGCGTAATACAACTTCATAAGATAAAGCAGGGTTAAGCTTGATATGCCGTCGTATGTACTTACTTCTTCTTTGTAATTTTAATAAAAACATACTTACATAATAAGTAACGATTTAATACTGTATCCGTGTAAATCAAAGATTAAAGGGATTAGCGCAGGTTAACATGCGAGCGTTTTCAATTGTAATTGGGATCACAGCGTCCTCATGTCAAGTTGAATTTTTGTTACGTAAATACACTGCGGGCCTTTTTGTAATCATCCTCTACGCCTATTCGAAAGTTGTCAGGTAAACTAAAACTACAATAAAGCTGTAAATGTCAGCTATCTGAAACTTCATATACTTAAACCTACGTCTTTTACCTGAACTCTTAACTGTAACACGTCCACGTTTTCCTATACAGTGCTGCTATACAGGGTGGAATTTGGTAATGCCACCTGGATGGGAAGTACCTACTCCTAATCCTGTAAATAGAAAATTTTACTCAAAGAAAACATTCCTTTATTTTTGAAAAGAAATAGAACTGCATTCAAAGATTTCCAAAAATTTGCTTGTCTCACCCGGGAGTCGAACCAACTACCTAATTGATATTAATTAGTCAATAGTCCATGGTCATGTGAAATAAATTTCAGCATCTATTGTTTCTAAACACACTGTAACGTCACACATTTATAACAATCCGAGACCTTATGTAAAACAAATTGAAAGTATAAGTAGGTATTTTATTGAAAGTCTCCTGAATTTCACTAATCATAGATGAAAAAGTTCCAAAAAAAACCGATAAATAAGGCTTTCTACATACAATGACATTATTAAATTGAGAGACAAGAGTCTTTATTTGCTTCAGACGGAGATAGATGGTTTGACTGGCACCGTCAGGTTCAATGAGGAAGGTCACCGACGAAACTTCACTCTACAAGTCATGGAGGTCACTGTGGATGGTGACATGAAAAAGGTAAGAAAATAAGCTGCGTTGTACAGTCACGGAATGAAAAGGTTCGTCAGTTTTCAAATTGATTCCTTCAACGAATCGCGAGCACATATTACCTTTTGAAACTATGTTACAGAATAATCTCGAGTTAGAGAAAATAATCTTTAACTGTTCGTCAGAAGTTCTAAATTATTCGGATCAAAGTTGTTTGACGATTTATCTTGTCAAGAAGATTATTATGATTGATAAACTAAAACCTTCTTGTTGGTTCAACCTGCCATTATTATTTCTATAAATAAAAAAAACTATTGTCAATTGGTCAATGTCATCATTGCATTGCACTGATGGGATAGAAAAATAAACAATCAAAACCTTATTTGTTAGCAAACGTCATATTTATTTAAATGTTAGCAGCCCTGTTTCTTGCACTGTTATGTTGGCAGGTTTGACTCTTACAGTACCTAGTGCAAGCGAAAACCGACACTAAGGTGACGAACCTTTTCATTCTGCGACTGTACATCTTACTTCAAGTATAACAAACGTCAAAAGTCTGTCAAAGTCTGTACAATAACACTGTTTTATAGTTACGGTTAAACTAAGATGGTGCAACTCAGCCTAAGAAATTTTACAATATTATTATGTAATGGGTTTTCCATTAATAGAACACAATTTGTACCTACTTACTTTGCTGAAAAAGCCTGTTGCTCTTGGACAAAACATACAAAAAACTGGACACAGATGTTATAGTTCCTTGTCTGTGTACCTCTTTGGTGAAAAACCCCTTACTTAGCTTTATTAATTTACCTCCTTATGTAATTATAACATATTTAAAGAACCGTATGGATACGTAATTCCAACAATACAAAACTTATAAAACTTAAAAATATCTAAAAAGTGCCTAATTAACATTTTTGGAGGATACTCGACAAACTATGAGGGGTATATTTTACAAACCGCGTGTCGTGAACAAAATTGAAACCTTAATTAGTAAACCGAATCTGGTACGTAATGGCGTAGTAAAGGTCTATTCATAGCTATTAGCACCTTTTCATCTAATTAATGTTTTAATATTATTCTATCAAATTCTCTCGCTGCGGCACAAACACATTTTAGCTCAATCGGTGTTGCAGGAATTTTTAAAACAACAATTTTATTATGCTGCTATAAAAGTTTATGGTGTGATAATGAACTTTTTTCTTTTGCTCCTTGAAAATGTATTTGTCAGTTTTGGCCCAAAGATTAAAGATCAAACTAATTGAATTGAAAATACCGACATTATATCCACCTCACACCAACACATAAAAAACGACAAAGGAATTCTATACCCTGCAGAAAGCAGCTTCCAGAGCTGAGAAATACTTGAAGACCATTATGACAGCCTTAATAAAAAAAGTAATAAACGTTTTAAGTATTATCCAAAAATAGCATAGTCAATCTTCTTGGAAATAATGCTTTATTATTCCTGTGTTTCCATGAAGATAAGTCGTTTCAATTTGCGGATCTTAAATGGTTTTTGTAAAAAAAATGCCGCCTTTTTCATACTAAACTGTTCTTACATTAACTTTTTGTTGCCTTGTAAATCAGTAGATTTACCATGAGTTTACATTAAACGTCATCGCAAGCAAGTGCGTCAAAAATTTATGAAGTCTTTAGTGCTTGAAAGTAACTGCAACCGCTAGGCTGTACAACCTGTCTTGCATTTCATGTCATTTTTACGCAGTCGCTAGCGAGCACACTTAATGTAAACTCATGGTAAGCACCAAATGTGCCCGAACACAATGTTACCTGAAATGTCGTTTAACACCAGCTGACATATGGAAACGTCAATACGAGTATATGGTGGCGTAACGAGATCTTTGGCGGCGTTGCACAACATCCCCTTATCCGACTAGTGTCTTCGCTCGTTAGTGAGCACAACACTAGATAATACAATAATACATAGTACAGTATTCTATCCATATAGGTATAGGCCAATTGTTTACGTGAAACAGGTGTCATCGATTGACAAGCGACAAATCACATTTGGCATATTGTATGATAGCATTAAGCGGATAGGTACACCAGCAACATCCAATCAAAATTCAAAATCAAATATTAATTATAAAGTAAAACAACTAAGCATACTCAAAACTCTACATAGACGTAGGTAATCCCAAGATCCAAATATCGCTTAAGTATTCTAACTAAAATATTCATAAATAAAAAAAGTCTGTCAACGCAATCGAAGTCAATCATTGAAATATCATCGGTGAAATTAATTATATTGGTTCAACTTTGACCAGTCTGGCACTAACAGTATCTCTTTGGGTTTATAATGGCTATCTGTTTTTTTAATATCCTAGAGAGCTTAGAGGTTGACAGTCTGGATGTCAATATTTTCGGCTAAACTGATATAATAACCATTCGGAGTTTCAGATTGTAAGTCCTCGCAACTTCATAAATCATAAATCATCACCAACGAATTAAGCTGTAAGTAGTAGGACCTTCATTTCAGTAATACAGATAGCAAGCTGATTAATGCCATAAACAAAGTAATTAACTTCGTGTGATTGTTAACCTCACCAATTGATCAAACACGTTATAATGATAATGCAAATAATCATTACGTAATTGTTAGTGATCTTGAGGTTGCTCTACATTCTCGTAGTTGACCTAGATCTTACTATAAAAACTCGAAATTGCAAAATAATAAATAAACAATATTGTGATATCAAGACAGATTTTGTACTTTATGCATTGATTGATTTAGGATAAGGGAGAGTCCGCTAATTTGGACCAGTTTTTTTCAATCCCATTTTACACATAGTTTTCTTTTGTTTTTGCTAATGTCCATGGTATATAATGAAAGATACATTATTCAACTTACTATTTCATAAGTATTAATTAACATGATTGTTGTATATTTAGCACAAATCAACAAAGTACGAGTTCAGAGCTTCGGTCCAATTTAGCCAACCGGTTCGATAATTTGTACCACAGGGTTACTAAATTGGATTTCAATAAATTTCAAGCCTATAAAAAAACTATGGCAAAATATTATACGATACATTCTTAACAAATTAAGAAACGAAAAGGAACAGTAGTTAATCACATAGACAATCGATATTGTTTTACACGTTATCACGATTTTGAGTAGGTACAAGTTTTGTAATTCCAATTATCGTAACGCACACTTGTACCTAATCTACTTTGCCAGTCTTTTGCTTTCATTTATTGTTAGTCAAACATAACTACGCTATTATAACTTCAAAATATGATTTACTAAAAAAAAGTTCAAAATCCTTTGGTAAAGTTCCATACAACTTGATGTGGTACAATTTAGCCGACTAGGTGATAGTGCTTTTAAAAAATCGGTAAAAAATATAGTTTATAAATACCGAAACATGTTTCAAATAATTGTAATCCATACTAATTTACGCTTCTAAATAATATATTAGAAACACCCTGTGATTAAATTTAACAAAATTACATACTAAACATGTATTGTCAAAAGTTACTTGAAAACAATGAAAAAATACTTTTCAAAATAAAACACACGTGTTTGTTGTCACGGCAAAAACCACATGGCCGATATTAATTGATTTTAGTTGTGTATCGCTGAGTGTTGCAGTTACAGACATTCAATAAATACTTTACGAAATATGAGGGTGGTACAATTTACCCGGCGGTACAATATACCGAACTCTCCCCTATTACTTTAGGATGGCACATAAGTACCTACCTACTGTTGCTGGAAAAGAAACTTGAAATTCATTTAATTAAGGCAAATATTAGATAAGAAATTTATAGTTACGTATAACGGCTTCTGTTACATTCAGGAAATGTTCGATATTGAATAAAAATAATTGCGATTTCTATAAATTGTATTGTAATGCAACCCTCTTGATAGCATTTAAATCGTTGATTGCTCACTTGACTGACTTTAAGCTTACTTTTCCCATATTCCATCCTTGTCCAAATCCGGATATCAACTATTAAACAATCATTTTTCGATCAAATATCCACAGCTTTTGTGCGTTTACACTTTAATATTTAATTGGTAAAATAGTATTTTATTGTTTTTACATTTACAATATAAAAATGTAAAAACATCGAAAACCGTAGATATTTTATTCAAAAACATATTGAAAAACAGTTGAAGGACGGATTTGGATTCGGATTAAATATAGAAAACCAGCATTAGAGAACATCTGTAGCTGATTAAGGTGAAGTACGAACTATGCAAATATTTGTATTAATGGTAAACATATTAAAACATTTACATAATACTCGTACCTATAAGAGTTACTACTTTACAGGTAGGTAAATTGATTCAAATTACTGATTAACAGTCCGACAAAGGTAGGGTTAGCGTATCTACATTTAATGGACTTGCTCTTGATATTTACCTACTTAGACAATTAATATTTAAAAAATGCGGACTCAAATTCATAACGGCAGGCTAAACAACTTGACTCGAAAAGGGATGTAGTTAGTTGAAGCTGTTTGGTCAGTCGCTTTTATTATTTCCTTAGCGGCCAAATGGTTCTGTCCACAGGTAGCGACATGGTACGACAACAAAGGCTTAGTTCCCGTCTCAGCGAAACTGCCGTTGAGCCTGCCCGGAGCCTACGACCGTAACAAGACGTACGTAGTGTCCACAATCGAAGAGCCGCCGTACATGATGCGGAACAATCCAGACAATTCGGCGTACTCGACTAATGACCCGTACAGGGGTTTCTGCGTCGATCTGGCCGAATTGCTATCCGATAAATTAGAAATCAAATGTAAGTCACTAACACTATGTAATCTGAATTAATTCTATAGGCTGTAGTCTCCTATAAGCGCCATAGGCCGGGTCACAATGCTTATAGAAATTTACTTTTGTGGTGTCTTTCAGACGTTGACGTCGGGGTATGGCATCGATAGGAACGTACGCCGCATATAGCGTTTAATAAGCGTAGCCAAAGCTTCGATTATCTAAAATAGCGGTGCCGTTACGCAACGAAGTCTTCAAGTTAAATGAAAGTATTTTTCATTGTTGTAATGACGTTATTGGATCGGAAACCAATTTCTTTGCTCTTTGATTGTTTTCAAAGTTTTCTACTTAAATTAATATTTTTTCTGCTCGCCTAATTTCCTTCACACTGATTTCCATGTCGGAAATTTCCATATCAAGTAAACAATTTCATTTGAATAATATTTCTCTTAATACTTATATTTTAATGTTTTTAGACTTTTTATTTTATTTTAATTAAGTTGGCCGCTATTTGTAATTGGCATTCTTAGTCTTTTCTTCCGTTTCCAACATTCGATCTTCGTCCGATGGTTCGTCTCTTCCAGGACATCACTTATAATTCATATAGTGGACAAAAACAATCTATCTCGACGACGTTCGACGTTACTAAACGATCGCTACGAGTATTAGCGTTGGTAAATTACGGCACCGCTATCATATAATTAAGAATAGATATTTATTTAATCAACTTCAAACAAAATTACAAAGGCCAGATGAAGTATTATAATTCTCTTGGGGTACTTGAAAGACCATTTTAATGGTTTGTGATTTTTTGACAATGATTACAAACTTTGAGTTTAAACAAATTGGTCAGAGTGAAATGAATTTCGTGGTAATAGTACTTAATTAACATTAATTCTAAGAACATTATTTTTTAATTTTGCGATTCATTTAGAAACGTTTGAAAGTCAAAACAATAAAGTCTCAATATTTATTCGAGACCCTTGAAGATGTAACTTTATTTAAAACTTCCAGATATTGATCAATCGAAAACTTTGTTATGTTCTTTGTCATTGATGCTGTTAGGTGGGATAATTACAAGAAGTTTCGAAGTATGTAATATTAGATTTACACTCCTAAAGCGAGTCTCTTTTATCAGAACGAGTACGTAAATATATCTTTGTTTTACAGATGAATTCAGGTTGGTAAAAGACGGAAAATATGGAAATGAAAACCCAAAAATTATAGGTGGCTGGGACGGAATGGTTGGAGAGATTTTGCGGAAGGTATGTGAAAACTTTTGTTATTATTTTAAGCCATAATGATCATGAATTTCTTGGAATCACAGCCTATATTTAATATTACTTTAAATAAATTGGACGAGTGATTTCCAGCTGTGCGGCGACGGATTATTGCAATGAGTAAAATACGGGTATATTGACTATAATATCCCAGATATTAGAGAGAAGACAAAGATATAGAAATCTATAGTGTATTTAGACGCTCCATTGATTCAAACGTATCCTACTAATATTATCCTACTAACATTATAAATGCGAAAGTTTGGATGTCTGGATGTTTGTCACTCTTTCACGCAAAAAGTACTGAACGGATTTTGTTGAAACTTTACAGTATTATTTTTTGTAACCCAGATTAACATATAGGCTATAATTTATACCGATCTGTGACACTAAATTTCACGCGGGTAAAGCCGCGGGCAAAAGCTAGTCTACAAATAATCGTCTCACCTTTTACATGTTACTTTTACGTCAAAGTCCACTTAGTACCATTTGAAATGTGTGTCTTGCTATGGGGCTTTTTGTAAGACCTTTTTACTAAAGTCTTTTTACGTGTACGTTTCGTATACGTAAAATTAACATTGGAGTAATTAAAATTTATTGAAAGTGCAGTGGTCAAGACTTGCCCATCTTCGTATTGTCTAAACACAATACATTTTTGCGATGAGCTTTCCGTAGTGTACTTACTCAACTCTTTATCGCCAGCTTTCAGTACTCAATACTCAATACTCAATAAGTTTATTGCTTCCTTAATAGTACATTTAGGTGTTACATAGTTATATTTGGAGATCATTAAGGTCAGTCTACTCGTCCTTACTTCAAAGAATTGTGAAGACGAAATAAAATTGTGCAGATCAGATTTATTTAGTACAATCCCTGTCTTTATATTTTGCTTCACATCATTTTGTTTTACACTCTCTTCAAAGTGATACGAATATATCTTCCTTACTATAGGATTTATATTCTTATAGGTACATAACTCAAAGAGGGTCTGACGCAGAATATGCACTTCGCAAAATGCGCACTTCTCCAAACTTATTTATAAATAATAAAAAAAAACTTTTTTTAAAAACAAGCTTATCCTGAAATGCAGTTGTACTAAAACGAAAAAAATAATTGTATGCTTGGTTCAAAGAATTTCAAAAGCTTGTATCGCGCATGGAATTTATTCCTCTTTTTTTCTGTTTGCACTACAAGCTTTCGAAATTCTTTGAACCAAGCATACAATAATTTTTTTCGTTTTAGTACAACTGCATTTCAGGATAAAACTTGTTTTTAAAAAGTTTTTTTTTTATTATAATTTTATTTTACACTTTTTAGTTGTATCTCAATCTCTGGGTCATTATTTAGAACCAAAGTGCTCGAGAAGTCGAATCCAACGAACCCCAAACTCGATGAGATTCCGCCGTTTCGTTTAGGAGTTCCTATGGCCACCTCCTGACTCCATCATCAGGACCCTGGACATCATCTAGCACTAAGCTGCTCGAAAAGAAAAATCCAACAAACCCAAACTCGATGAGTTTCTGCCGTTTCGTTTAGGAGTTCCTATGGCCACCTCCCTAATCCATCATCAGGACCCTGGACATCATCTAGCACTAAACTGCTCAAAAAGACAAATCCAACGAACGCAAACTCGATGCGATTCCGCCGTNTAAGCTGCTCGAAAAGAAAAATCCAACAAACCCAAACTCGATGAGTTTCTGCCGTTTCGTTTAGGAGTTCCTATGGCCACCTCCCTAATCCATCATCAGGACCCTGGACATCATCTAGCACTAAACTGCTCAAAAAGACAAATCCAACGAACGCAAACTCGATGCGATTCCGCCGTTTCGTTTAGGAGTTCCTATGGCCACCTCCTGACTCCATCATCAGATCAGCTCAATGGTACCATAACATTGCATTGTCATCGTACTTACATAAGTATACCAAATTTCAGCTTAATCGGTTGAGGAGAACTGGTCTTAAATTCAGTTGCAAGATTTGTCCCACACATACCAACAAGTGAAGTCATTATAAAGCTTGTAAATACTAGCTTTTGCTTGCAGCTTCACCCGCGTGAAACTGTCACAGATCGTCATAAATTTTAGCCTATATGTTATTCTGGGTTATAAACAATAATACTGTAAAGTTTCATCGAAGTCCGTTTCAGTAGGTAGATTTTGCGTGAAAAAGTAACAAACATCCAGACATCCATACAAACTTTCGAATTTAATCATATTATTAGGAGTATGATTAGTAAGTAGGTAGGGGATATTAGTAGGATTAGCATGTAAAAATGCACATTCTGCGTCAGAACCCTCAAAAAGTCAAGATGTTAAAAGTTAAGACATAATTTTATTATAATCAAGATTACATTTGCAGTCATCTTCTTCTCGTCTAAAGATGGAATAAAATAAATCTTAATAAGCGATTATGAATAATACGCGGTACCCATCATAATTTTTTAGAACTGTAATCTACAGCTGCTTAAATTATAGTTCATTCAACTTATGATGGTGATTTAGACAGACAAAACGTTTCGTTTTATGATTCTAACTTTCTACCAATAAAAATATTGAGTTGTAAAAATCAATTACTTTTGTGTGTTTTCATCGTTCCAAAATATCAATCACTAATCTTTCTCAATTAACCTAAACAAGAATTTCTAATTATTTATTAGTTTATTATTTAGAAAAAATTGTGAAAAAATATTAAATGAATTGCTTCTGCGCTAGTCGGAACTTTTGCTCATAGGGATAGGACATAAACAATCGCAATAAATCAGTAATCGGCATGGTGGTCATCTTAAAATCGAATCACGATTATTATCTCAGGCAGGTCAAAGCTAAGTCAGCCTTTGAAGACGGTTTGGTTTTATGCGATTTCTCCACGTATTGTTTGTTATTGTTATTTTGATGTTTTATTGAATGAAATGCACTCGACTTGGTGGGGGCACTGCCGTGCCCCCAGATATATTTAATTCTTTGTGATTTATTTTGTACCACTAAGAATATTTACGTTTATTCCATTTCCAAATAGTTCAAATTCATAGATATAATTTTGATCAAGATTAAAAATCAAACAAATAAAAGGCTATTAGATTTCTATAGAAAATATTCTCGATTCTAAAAAAAAATATCGATTAGGTTTATAAGGAGCGCCTCACTAAATAGAACTGTCATAATCACCATCTTACGCTGAATGGACTATAAATATTATGAAATGTTAAACTCTCGTTTGCAAGGATAAGATTTTATTAATGTTCATCCCTTAGAACACCATTAGACGCTTCACGGAAAATCCCGTTGTTGTTATAAACATTTCGTTTCGCGAAGATTTTAATTAACAATTAATGACTTGTCTGAAAATTTCTTACGAAAAACTTTTAATTAGACAGGTAAATTTCTGTACGTAAACTAAGACTTTGATTAAATCAGTAAGCTTCTTGAAATTCGATCTAGGAGGTAGTTATTATTTTTTTAAATAAATTATGATGTTATTAATCCCTCCTTCTTTTTTGGAATCGGTTAAAAAATAAGTTTCGTTATTATGGTTCCAATAAATAGTTTCCTTTTTCATGCGAAGTTACGCGGCATAAATCTCGAACGTCGTTCCCTTATCGCACGCATCTATAAGTTATGTACCAAAAGCTTCTGAAAAAATATTATAAAGGTATATTTTCTTTTCCCTGGTGACTTAACTTACAAACCGTTCCTTACCCTGCTCGTTACCGACTTGAAACGATATTATTAAAAGAAAGGTTCTATATATAATTGATCAAACTAATTATAATACTATTCACACATAATTCTAGGTAAGTCAGTACTAAATCTTGTCAAAGCGAAATTGAATTGATAACTCTCCAATAAGGTTTATACATTCATGAACGTACTAACAGTTTGAGCAGGACATAACTTTTCGTACATTCGCCTGATTCCATGAAATACAGAAACTGTATATTCAAAGCGTCAAAAGCCCGTCGGTGTTGTACTGCGGATTCGAGATTCGACGAACGCTAGTTTGATTCCCGCCGATCGCTAGACTTTGTGGTGGTTCCACTTTATACAAGCTTATAATATTTAGCAGAAATTTAGTGGTTAACGGGAATTTCAGAAATGCTATTATTTTTTATTTAAAATATAAGTTCATATGGGACCATAACTTGGCTGATGCTGGATAAAATCTTCCGACATGAGCAAAATTGAGAGTTTTAACTTTCATCAAAATCCGTTCAGTAGTTTTTGCGTGAAATTGTAACAAACATGTTAACATCCAGACATCCAAACAAACTTTTACATCTATATCTATTATATAAAAGAAAGTCGTGTTAGTTACTCCACTTATAACTCAAGAACGGCTGAACCGATTTAGCTGAAAATTGTCAGGGAGGTAGTTTAGAGCCAGGAGAAGGACATATGATACTTTTTATCCCGTTATTTATTGCCATTAAGGCGGAACAAAGTTCGCCGGGTCAGCCAGTTTATAATATTAGTAGGATCAAATAATCGAGACCTATGGGAGTAATTTTCTACTACCTTCATTACTGGTAGGTAGTATCGGGATATACACTTACGAATGAAAATTAGATGTATTTCAATTTTGCTCATTTCTTAGTGAATTGGATTTCCGCACAAACTAGGGTAAATCTAGGGAATAAAGGACGGATGGAAAACCCAGTTTCACGTGAAGTTATGTAAAGACGCCTATAGCATATTGACATGAGAGCTCTCATTTGATTTGTCTACATCTCCGGAGTCTCATAGTTTTAAAATAAGCACAGAGGCGGGATTTGTATATTGTCTTCCATTTCCTGTGGTTCTGCAGTTGCAGTCTCCGCCTCATAAATTGGAATCAAATGTTACATTTCTTGTTCATTTCTATTTTTCATCTAGCATAATATTGCGTGGCATGTTTCATATGACTGGAACACAAAATGAATGAAAAATAACCATGCAACGAATTTGTAACCTGATTGAACTGTCTGAGTTTGTCTTTTTCTTAAAACAAATTCAATAATTTTTAAATAACACTTAATACATCCTTCGAAATTATTACCAAACATAACAAATCAAGGAGCCACTTCACAAATAACGTGATTATCATCTGATGTCATCAACTGCACAATACCAGTCATGGAATTCCAATTACCTATCAAACGGCTAAATAATTGTAACGGTAATTTATATGAAACTAAACGTTTATTGTAGGTCTAGCGTTTAACTCAATCAGTGATTGAAGTATGGGAGCGGCACGGGAGGGGTGACATTGACATTAATTAAGACGTGACAGAGCATAAAAATCTGAAGCACATTTGGAAGTCCCACTGACATTTCCCAAAAACAAAAAAGGTCCCAAAAACACCCTCATGTACCGCTCCCATACCTCAGGCACTGACTGAGACTCTAATATTGCATTTAATGTTTTAGGAAGTGGATATGGTGATTGCACCGCTAACGGTCACGATGGAAAGAGAGGCAGTGATCGACTTCAGCAAGACGTTTTTATCTTTTGATCTGAAACCGGGCGCTAACAATATCAAAGAAGATTCATCTATATTCAGTTTCTTACACCCACTTTCCAAAGAGTTATGGGTGAGGGAAATTTCAATACATCCTAACGTCTTTCTTTAACGTTTGTCTTTCATCTTTATGTATACCTACACTTTGACTATTCAATGACTATACCTAATATCTTTGGTACATTTTGTTATTCATTTTTACCGTTTTTAATTTTATCCTTGTTTTTAGGTGTGCATCCTATTCAGCCTGTTTGCTGTAAGCGTGGTCTTATTCTTGGTTTCACGATTCTCCCCTAATGAGTGGCGTATTGTATCATTTCCCGATGGTCAATCTTCGGAACATAATGAAGTTACAACAACTAAGGTAAGGGCTGAATTGAATACAACCATTTTTCAATAGTTATTTTTTAAGACACGCCTCTCAATCTACATTTTTAAAATAACTTGAAAACATCGATCTGCCAAAGGGAATCGAACCCACCACCTTTCACTTGAGGGGCGACTGCTCTTCCATCTGAGCTACTTAGACAAGGGATGAACCGGTCGAAAGTTTCAAGTGTAATACGCTGATACAGACAGCGCTTATTTCATCAGTGTTGGGTAGTACTACCCTTAAAATAGGTACTCAAAACGAATATTATAAAACTCTATAATTTTTTCGTTCAAAATTATTAAAAATTTTACTAAAGAAATAAATCATAAAATGCAAACACCCAACGAAAAATCCGGAACAAAGTTTCTTTTAGCAACAAACGGATTCAACGGAATGCAATATAATATATCGCAATCGTGTGACAGCCAATTATAAAATTGTTTTCCTTCTCACGACCGTTTATTGTTTTATTGTTTGGCGATACTTCAGTTGCCAGACTTGCAATTGTTTATTGTGAAAGGTGTAGATAGATATTTATTGCTTTAAAAAAGAAAATAAAGTGACATGAGTAATTTATAGCATTTATTTAAAAACAGTGGCTGCTTGCTGTAACTTTTTTTTAACTTGCTCTTTTTTTTCAGGCGAGTGTCGTTAACGAGTTTAGCTTTTGGAATTCGATGTGGTTTTCCCTAGGTTCGTTCATGCAGCAGGGTAGCGACATTACGCCGAGGTCAGTGAATATTTTAATATTTGATTGTCTTAAGTATATTAGTTCTTATAATTTAGTAAATTCGAGAAAACCACAATCTTATACCTCACAAACAGTTCGAACGGATCTGCAATAAGAAAATGCATCTCTATTCTATAATTCACTCAATGCGCCCACGGTAGAATGCATTTAGATATATTGCACACAATTTCTTGTTGCACTTACAAAATTGTATCCATTTAAATAAACGACCCAATAAACATTGCAGCTTATTAACTTAAATTATCGCTTACAAAGTGTCACAGTGAACATTTAATATAACCTTCATGAAATAAAGGCGACGTTAAATAAGTAGGCATTACAATAAAATTCCTTTGTTTCAGATCTGTATCTGGCAGAATTGTAGGCTCCGTTTGGTGGTTTTTCGCTCTGATCGTAATATCATCGTACACGGCAAACATGACGACTTATTTGACTATTTCTCGTATAACGGACCCGGCTCCATCGTTCAGCAAAGTAGCAACATGCCCTGAGGTATAGTGAAATAATGAAAAATATGCCTAAATTCTCAGTACTTTCGTTGAAACGAGGTATAAAATTGTAAATTTTTTAGGACTCTACCATGGGACATGGGAGCACGCCTCTGCCCCAGGACTCTGTTGAAGAACACGGCTGGCTGGCGTTCCTTCTTGATCGATCGTCTGCGACTAAAGATAAACCGAGACCTTGTGAAATGCTCGTCACCGTTACCAGCTCCGGAGTGAAAGATTTCGCCGTCGCTCTACCAAAAGGATCCAAGTTGCGGTGGGCATATTTACTGTACTCGAGTACACATAACCTTGTCTTTGCATTAGCGAGCGCTGCCACGCTATTTAATTAACTGTAATTTTGCGAAGCGAATTTCAGCGTACTCTGCGAATTAAAGTTAAGCGAATAGCACAAGTAGCTATATGTAAGGTTTCTTTTCTAGGGAGGGCATCAACCTCGCTTTGACATCGCTTAAAAATGACGGGGAATTGCAGAAGCTTATTCGGAAATGGTTCACGCTTGCAGAGTGTGATTTGACGGATAAGGCAAGTTTGATTTTGAAAAATGCTTTGGTTGGTAACGACTCGTTTTGTTAACGGAGTAATTTGTTTACAGAGCGTTCAAGGGTCGGAGCTGACGCTGAGTGAAGTGGCTGGGTTGTTTTACGTGTTAATGGGTGGTTTAGCGCTGGCTCTGGCAGTGGCTTTGTTGGAGTTCTGCCAGCACGGGCGGGCTGAGGCCGCGCGGTCCAATGTTCCGCTCGGGACGGCCCTGAAGGCCAAGGCCCGCATGGCCTCTCGGGCTGAGCGTAAGGCCGCACAACAACACACCCCGCAACGCGAGCACGACCGCCTCGGATGGAATGGTGGAGCCTTCACTGGAGTAAGTTGAATTAATATTATACTTATTCATTTAATTTAAGACAGGGAGTCGACACTATTTTTCAACCGACTTCAAAAAAGGAGGAGGTTCTCAATTCGACCCGTATGTTTTTTTTTTTCTATGTTTGTTACGCGATAACTCCGCCAATTATGAACCGATTTGAACAAATCTTTTTTCGGCGTATAGGTAATACCTCAAGGGTGGTCCCATTTAAATTTAATAATAGAAAAAACAACCCCCAAGGGTGGAAAATTGGGGATGAACTTTTTTATACGCAATATCTCCGCCGATTATAAATCAATTTGAACGATTATTTTTTTGTTGAATAGGTATTATGAAAAGGGTGGTTTCATGCGAATTTGAAGAAAATATTTCACCCCCAAGGGTGGAAAATTGGGGATGAACTTTTTTATACGCAAAATTTTTAATTTTTAGTTTTTTTTTGTGTTCACGCATTTGAAGTCGGTTTTATTTTTTTTAAAAGTTAATTATTCTGTGTATTTTTTGTTTATGTAAGTTTATAGACTAGACACTCTATGCCTACAAAAAAAAAGAAATACCTACTGTAAATATACTTTGATCACCTATTGAACATTTGCACCTAAAAACCAACATGTGTTTTGTACATCATTTAATAATATTAAAAGATAAGATCGTAACGAAATCTTCAAAGTTTCGTGAATTCGGAAAGTTCTGAGTAATTTTAACTACAGTTTTTGATGTTTCGTACTACTAGGAAAGAACAAGTAACTTGTATAATTAGCTAGTGTAGACTGTTTGAAAAGTATTTTACTTAGGTATAATCCGTACTACTAACTCTCCGATAAAACTGGAAGTTCACTAACGGGCATTGTTTAGGATTATTATGCTTCCAGAGCAAAGTTTGTAGTCCTACAATATTCATGAATGCACTTCGTTGTACTGAACTTCATCGATAAAGTGATAATTGAAAATTAATGGACCTGTTATAGGTCTGTTTTCTTGTTAAAATGTATTTGGTCTTGATTACGAAGTCCGAGAACGTAGATTTTTTAGCGGCAAAAAAATTCGATATAGGTACTTATTTAACTATGTACCAAGGCTTTGGGCAGTTTTCCCGATGCGCAATTAGCTCTAGTTTCTAAATAGTTATTACTCGGATATACACATAATGTATTGCGATTCACATAAGGACGCATCCCTCACGAGGTTTGTATAATCGGGAGAGAAATATAAATGAAAGAAATAATAAATGTTTCTTTCTTTCTTTCTTTCAAATAGAGCGGTGTTCCATCAATGACAGAATGAGGATCATTTCGATTTTTAGCTGTGAATGCAGATTTATAGGGCTAAGAAATCCTTAATACACAGTCCAAAAATTTTTGTTCTACGACAAAAATTGACGAAGTTATGGCCAAATTACTAAAAAAGTTCACTGACCGCCCGGCGCGGGACCGTTGACGTCATTGTATCCGATCCGAACGCTGCCGGCGTACTGCGTGGATAGAAAATATTTTTTTCTAGCCAAACTATCAGTTTGAGAGAAAAACTTGTAATGACATATATTCATCAGAATAAAGTAAGCTATCGATAGGTAATTTTAAAAATAGAAATTGTGAAAAATAACGCAAAAAATCCATACGCTCATACGATTCAATGGAACGCAGAGACGCGATTGGGGTCTCCGCGGTGGTATATTTGGCGATTTATTCAAATAAAGTGTTCATAAGTGTTGTTAGAGTCATATCTTCTTCCAAGTAAAATATAAAAATGTATAAGTATTAATTTATTTACTTCTAACACTAAGGTATAGCTGAGGCAGATACACTCTGCCTAGGCTACAAGACATTTCTATGCAGATCATTTCGATGTACACGCAATACCTACCTGTTATTTAGTTTTTCTGAGTTAAACCTACGTACCTACCTATCTATTCGCCGTTCCCATGGGCGGACCATTTTTTTTATATTTTTAAACCGGCAGACAGTGGTGACTGAGTTTGTTGCGGCGCTTCTTCTCAGCACTTGCCAAATGTTTGTCTCGAAGCGCTGGTAGGGCAAAAAAAGAATGAGACATGTATAGGCTCCTTAAGAGCATTTGACGATTTTCAAGAACTAATTTAATTAGTCTAAACAAATAAAGATAATTTTGATTTTGATTTTGATTTTGACCAGCTGCTGCAGGAAAGGACAGCTGCTCCCTCCTGGAAATCTATTTAATCTTAGCCTAGAAGCTGGGCATGACTCCCCCGCCCCCCTCCTCTCCCTAGGTCATAAGCTGGGCATGACTTCCCCCTCGGCCAGAAGTTGGGTATGATTTACCCCCCCCCCCCTTTCCGGCAAGGCTAGCCCCTTCCCCCAGTCCATAAGCATAAGCTAGGTATGACTCCCCCTCGGCCAGAAGCTGGGTATGACTTACCCCGGCCAGAAACTTGGCATGACTTGCCTCTCCCCCCCTCCCACCAAGGCCAGAAGCTGGGTAAGGCTTGCCCCTCTCCCTACTAGGCTATAAGCTGGGTATGACTTATCCCCCCCCTCCCCTATGAAAATGTGGTTTTTGGACATAGCGATACTTAATTTTCACAATTTTTATTTTTTTAAATTACTGGTCGATAGGTTATTTTATTTTGATGAATAAATGTTATTAAAAGTTTTTTTCTAAAACTGATGGTTTAGCTGGAAAAAAATATTTTCCATCCCAATAGTACGCCGGCTGCGCTCGATTCGGATATAATGACGTCACGCGGCCCTGCGTACGTTGACTTTTAGCGGCAAAAACGGCCTATGTTTATTACTTTAAAAAGATATATCTTTCTTATGTCTTAAAGATTAACGTAGATACTAGTTTTATAGAATTTTCTACAACAGTACTAATCCTCATTCTGAACTATCCAAGTAGTCTACACACAATATTTTATAACTTAGTAGTTAGTGATATCGCGGAATTGATCACTACATTTTAATATCGGTTGGTTTTTCCTGAAAACAGCATTCGGAGACTAAAAATTAAATGATGCAGCGCAATGGACACTTCAGCGATGTCAATAAACGATAATGATTAAATTAACGAACAGTTCTACGATAACCGAAGATAAAATATGAATATCAATCATTTCCAAAATATTCCGGTAAATTTTGACGGTATTTCAGTAGCACGTTGTATAAAAATAAATATTTCAGCCATCTATACTATTGTAATAGTATTTATAGTAGTTGCGCATAAAGTGAATTATCAAGTTTCTTCCAGCGTATTTGTTTACTCCGTGACATGTTAACTGATGCTGTCGTTCATAACTCTATCGCGGCAATTGTGAACGCGAATAGAGCCGAAAATACGAACACTGTCCCGCAGCCCGTTGATTTTGATTATAAAGGGTGTCCTAAAATTAGCTATACATCACACTAGCACCGGGGGTAGGTTGGCCTAAGATGCATCAAAGAAGTCAAGTGTCAATTTTAAAACCTAGCTAAAATTGGTCATATCTCCTAATTCATAAAAGTTTTCTATGGACATTAATACCTACCTTAATGGTCATGATCAGGTCATTTAAAATGTTATCTCAAAACTCAGTTAAACGCGTCTCGATGCGTCTCAATGGACAAGTTTCCAATTTTTTTCTTTTAATAAAACTTGAAAATATAAGTAAAACTGATCATCACTTACTATCAGGTGAGATACAGGCCAAGAGCTTCCTCGTTGTGGGTATAAAAAAAACTAATAATAATTGTGAAAGAATATGAAAATATCTCTACAAATACCTCTGTAATGAAATTGCAGTTTGTCGAGAAATAAAATTATTTTTCTTTAATTTTCCTATCAGTACTACAGCCCGGCCAACCAGATCGGCCAGGAGGAGACGGCGTTGCATGCCAGCTTCACGCAAGTCTGATGCTCGAGCCGGGACGTCGGCACCATTCGCCGCCCGTCCCACTCCAAGCAGATGTCGACCTCCGTCGATCTGTACCAGCTGTAAGCTGCTAAGGTCTTCAGCGGCGTCCCCTAGGTCAGTTTCAAAAACTACCCTAACGTGATCACAAACGACCAGGCTATTAACGTTGCTATTAAAAGATCTTACCTATTGTACGCGGGAAGAAAACTGTTCGGCCACACACAAACATTTGGAATTGAGGTACGATGTGTGTGGTATAGGCACGAGATGAAATCTTTTGAAATTTTAAGCCGGATTTTAAAATCCATGTAATCAATAGCAGTAATTATATATTTGTCTGATATATCTGTTCTACATTTATCAATGGTCTTAGTAGTGTTTACCGTTGAGCTATATTATTTTACTACACCATTAGGTCCTACGAGACATGTCGTAAGTCACTTGCAACCCTTAAGTACGGGAATTTACCGGTAATTATTAAGGTTCCAGAGGTCTACCTCCTTTCAACCGTTAATATCCTAAATATTTCCTTTGGTATTCAAATTGTTATGTAAATATTTATTATTATCCTAAACAGTTCCTCCGAGAATTAATTACTTTTACGAATTTCATACTGCTAAAGGAATGATAGAACATTATCGTAGACGTTTTAATTAACTGCTCTTTGTCGTTTTAGATATATTTAAATGCAAATTTAATAATATTTTGTTATTGTATTGTTATATTAATTTAAGATTTTGCCTGTATATTTTTAATGACTGTCAAACCGACGGAACCCAAATATATTTCTGAGCTAATCACGCTCAATGATCTCCAGCGAATTATGATCGTTTCTTCATTTCTAATCGAATACGAACCGATCCTGATTCGTGCTATATAAATAACTATATACATTTCTGTTTTGGTGTTTATTACCAAGTAGATAAATATCAGGGTCTTATAATACGTGTTATACTAAGTAAAACATTCAATTAGGTGACATAATTCAAATTGGTGTAAATTTTAAAACGTAGTTAGCAAGATAAACGTTAATTACGGGCCGGAAACTTAGCTTCAACATATTATCTGTTTTACTACACATTTATACTCTCGGTGTATTTAATAAGTTAAGTGCATTTACTTAATGTTTTATCATATAATCATTAATTGGAAAATGAGTGAATAATAGCTCGACTAGTTGTAACAATGCATATTATAGAACCCATTTACGGGATTTGTCGGTGTTTACAATTACTAAATGTTACCTTACCTGAAACCTGCTTAACCCCAGCAATTAGAAAGTTAGTAAATATTAATAGAAACCTACCCCGGAAAAATCCGCCGCAATCATCCACTTTTCATACATGTTTAGTATTTATATTATTATAAATATGAATAATTTGGTGTTACATGTTTACAATAAGAATAGCAGCTTCACGTTAAGCGTTTAATGTTTTAAACCTATTTTATGTATACTTTGTTAAAATTTTGTTTCCATTTTAATTTACTTCACTTACCAACTGTTTAGATTTAGGAAATTATCTATAGGTGTCTAATTCTAAACCTACTATAAATTATTAATTGATGTGTGATGACAGGTTAAAATAGTTGTATCATTAGGGTATACCGTATTAAATTAAGAATTTAGCGAACTTAGAATAACTATGTCACTTACTTACACTTATTTTTGTTTTTCGTCGATAATCTCTTGTATCGCGGATTTCTTAATCAGTAATTTATTGAATATACGTATACTTCATTCTTTGAAAGAATAAATTAAGTTGACATATTTTATTTTGTAGGTCTAAAAATTACTATCGAATAAGATAACGCCAAAGGCAAATTATATCATATCAACCAAAGATCTTTAAAAACGTATGTAGAATCATTTTCAAAAATAACACATTTCAAGAATACTTACCTTGAAACCGATTTATTAGTTGCATTTTGTTTTAGCTTGTTGCTCTAAACGCGTTTACTATGCTTCCGTCCTACGCTGTTTTATAGTTAAATGAAATAAGTATGGTTATCATTTTTATGTGTGCGGCCAAATAAAATGTACTCTGAACAAGGAGTACCGACTGATATAAAATACCCAAGCTCATATGTTTTTCATTTATGTGCCAAAACGTAATGTTAAAAACGTCGTATGAAACTCGTGTGCATTGGTTTATTATACTCTCAGCTATAATATCAATCTTTTACCTCTTGTCACTTTAATTAATGTCTTGCCCTCAAAAAATCTAATGAAATTAGACTAGCTGATAATTACTTACGTGAAACTTGCATTGATTATTTCTTAATCACCTGGCTATCTTGCTTATTTTAATGATAATGTACAATGTACATACTTCAATCAAAGTTGATTGTAGGTGTTTAAATAAATGAAGAGTGCTGCTGCGGTCACATCCGTCCGTCAGTTGAAGGCTGAATTATGCTCGTGGCGTAATTTATTTAAATGGGTGGAAGGGAATTTAAAAACTACGGCTAACGAGTCGTAAAAATAATATTAATTACATCATTACTGCGGTGTGCCATACGTGTGCTTCCTCACCTCACACCCGCTAAATGGCCGGTTCGTGTAAAGAAATATTTTATTATTGGCAGTTTGAAAAGAACCTGTAATGGCCTATTGCATTATTTGCACACACAAAAAATATGTAAGCGTAACGAATTGTAGGTAAAACTTCTCAAAATTAAAACATGCCAATAAAGGCAAATTTAATTCAGGCTGTTTTTTTTTTCGAATTATAAAATAATATAAAAGAAATTGGTAAACTTTGTATTGAAAAAATTAAAAAATGTAAATGCGTACATCAGTGCTAGCTTTATTCTGGACGATTAACAGAACCTCTCCCACTAAATATAATACAGATGCAAAGATAATAGAAATCAGTTCAAAATATGGCCTCGATTCGGAGTATAATTGTTTACGAATGGTTATATTCCTGCACTCCTAATAAATTAATAACATAATTAAACTTGCATTTGCAAACTCACTAATTTAGATTTTACCCTAGTACTAAATATAAAGACATACATTAAGTTATATTATATTCTTCAAATGACTGATTTACATAATCGTTTCATCGTAGATTCTAGGATCTAAGTCATAAGTATTGAAATATGTTACTGTTGTTAACTTAGGTTATGGATAATTTACTGATGAAAATAATTTACTTTCATGTGCTTGATATTTGTAAATTTATGTAGCAGGTTGAATATACAGGGTGGAAACGATAAGTGATCTCATTCGATTATTTCTAAACTATACAAGATATCGAAAAACTGATTACTGATCCTGAAAGTGCTTCACGAGCTCTTTCAAACGATATCAGAAATAGGTTACAGAATTAACTGGATCTATCCGAAAATTCAATGTTTTCAGCCTCCATACTAAATGTATGCCACTAAGCCAGCCACACAATATTAGAAGTGTTAGTTTTTTTATTTCAAATCATAAACACTTAAAATTAACTCGTAAATTGCATTCTTATTTAAAACAATAAAAAGAAAACATTGGTTTTAGGCTTTACTTGCTATAATATTATCAAGGCATGAGTGCCATGACTGTGGCAGTAGTAAATGTATGGAAGCTGGAAACATTGAATTTTCGGATAGATCCAGTTTATTTTATAACTTATTATTGATACCGTTGGATAGAGCTCGTAGAGCACTTTCAGGATCAGTAACCAGTTTTTGGTTATCTTGTATAGTTTTTAATATTATGTGGTTTTACTAAATGTATGGAGACTGGAAACATTGAATTTTCAGATAGATCCAATTTATTTTGTAACCTATTATTGGTACCGTTGGATAGAGCTCGTGAAGCACTTTCAGGATCAGTAACCAGTTTTTGGATATCTTGTATAGTTTAGAAATAATCGAGTGAGATCACTTATCGTTTCCACCCTGTATGAATATCGATTATAATTTACAATTTAAATATGATAGAGATTTGTGGCTAGTCAATAAAGTACAATCCAAATAGCGGAATGCTTAATAATTTTATTGACAGACCGACATTGTGTTTTTAGAGATACCTATTTTATTTAACTCTTTATTATTGTAACTTACATTCACGTTATGTTCGATGGACACTTCTTGTAACCTCTTATTTATGTATAATAAATACTTATCCGTATGTGGAGACTACCTAAATAAACGTTTAATAAAGTACCAATAAACGTAATTGTGGTTTTATTTCACTGCCTGACATTATTCTCCAATTTTCAGTGAGTAGGAGTTGACACCAATAAATTTTAAAGCTGCCACTACTTTAAACCCTTCAATATAACCTCGAACCGATAGTTTTAGATTTGCTATTTTGCCTGATTATTAAATCTAACTACAAACAGTCACATGATAAAGGCAACCCTGGTCGACTGATTTTCTATCATACTACTCCTAATAGTAAAATCGCCGCTTGTTCCCACGAGTCAGACACAAACGAGTAACCCTGTTACTGATTACAAACATTAAATACCTTTAATCTATACTAATATTATAAAGCTGAAGAGTTTGTTTGTTTGTTTACTTGAACGCGCTAATCTCAGGAACTACTGGTCCGATTTGAAAAATTCTTTCAGTGTTAGAAAGCTCATTTATCGAGGAAGGCTATAGGCTATATACCATCACGATACGAGTAATAAGAGCAGAACAACAATGAAAAATGATGCAAGAACGGGTTTTCACGCGAACGAAGTCGCGGGCACAGCTAGTATCAAGATAAAAGAGTTTTCATTATAAAGAAACAATGTATAAAAAATCAAAATAATTAATTATGAAGTAATCTAAAGCTTAGGTACAGTAAGAAAATACAGGTTAACGAGTAGGAGTGTGACAGGATAGGATGTTTTCCCCAAATTGGTGTGACTCGTTGGGAAGTAACGAAAACCGCTGAACATACATAAGGGTTCAATAGATAGTTATATGATACACACCTTTCTCTTCACATCGGCTTGGCACCACACAGGAAACATCCTGTTTATACGAAAAAAAATTTGATTTCAGTGGAACTGGTAGAACACAATAGAATTTAACTTCTTTTTAAAACTATGGCATTTATCATTTCTTTGATGAGCAAATGTACGAATCTTGCTAATAATATACGTTGTGCTGTGGTTGTTGGAGTAGAGACTATTTAAGTTCGAGTATTAGCATTCAGATTGTCGCGTACGTTTTGCCCCTGTATTTTACTTTGTTTTTAAACTTTTCATATAGTTGTCTTCACTGAGAATATGAGATCGTGACTTGCCGGAAACTCGCTCGTTAAAGAGTTTTCTCATATGCTATTAAAAGTTGGAGAATTCAACTTGAAGAGAATATTATTAGGTGAAAAAATTGTTTGCGATCAGGATCAGTAATCCTAATTAAAATCCTAATCGAAAGTTAGCAATTATTCGTTGACCATTAAAATTAACGATATTTTAAGTTAACTAGCATGGGGATCGCATAGGACAGACGAAGTAACACTAAAATGATAATAATACTCAATTTAACTGGCTGTTAGAGCAGAAAAGTTCTTTATTGGCGACCATGTACTGGAAAATGTAGTGCTAGGCTCAGTGGATCTTGTGAAAGTTGCAAGAAGTACCTGGATTTGGGCAGCACAGGACTATAGTCGTCGGAATCCACGGAGGAGGTCTTTGTTTAGCAATGGACGGCATTTAGGCTGGTTTTAGAATCGCGCTGACCGCTCGCTGATCGTCGGCGCTGACAAATTAAAATGTATGTAATTGAAGGGAACGTTCCTGAGTGACGCTGATCGCTCGGCGCCGACGCTTCATACATTTCGGCTGTCAGCGCTGACAGTCAGCGTGCGTCAGCGTGATTCTCAAAATCAAAAATCAAAATCAAAAATATTTATTCAGTTTAGACCACAAGTGGCACTTATGATACACTCTAAAACCAGCCTTATAGGTTAAAACGAAGAAACAAATTGAATCGAATATTTAGTAAGTGCCATAAGTAGTTGCCATATCCGCCTATGTTCTTCTGATTGATTTCGTTGCGGGTCCCATGACAGTTTAACTTTCCCCCGGTCCCGGGTCAAACTTGACCTTCATTGTTTGGGTTTTTATGGCGGTCAAGCTGTAGATCCTGGCTACACAGGAGATGCAGTGGTGGCAACGAGAGGTGGAAATAGTCCCGTAAAGTGCCATAGTTGATGTGACACCTAAAATGACCTAGGTCTTTATTAATATGTAAATAGGTACCCTGTGTGTAAGTAAGTAAATAAAAATCCTAATACAAAATCTACGTGAGATGCACGTAACAGTGCACAAATACTCTCATATACGAGTACGGTGGAAATTCAATACAATCGTGTTACTCGTACATTTAATAGATTGTCTCGTAATCTGGCACTCGATTAGGTTCAATCCGTTACCTCCTAGAGAACAGGTATCCTTTTCAGGGAATTCTTCGGCATCTGTACATCCTGCGCTCCTACGATGATACAAAATTAAATAAGGTCAAGTGATGTTCTAGAAATCGAACTGTAGAACACGA